TCTGAGATGTAATCTGTCGGGTCCTGGTCATAATAGCAACTGTGAGAGGGATCTTGGAATCCTAGTGGACAATCACTTAAATATGAGCCAGGAGTGTGCTGCAGCTGCCAAAAAAATCAACACAGTGCTAGGCTGCATTAACAGAGGGATAGAATCAAGATCAAGTGAAGTGTTAATACTACTTTACAATGCCTTGGTAAGGCCACACTTGAAATACTGCATCCAGTTTTGGTCACCATGATGTAAAAAAGATGTTGAAACTCTAGAAAGAGTACAGAGAAGAGCAACAAAGATGCTCTTCTTTTTTGGGGGGGGGGTGCAATCTGAGGTGCTTTTCTGTTTTTATTGATACGACTTTTTTAGGGATATTTGGTGCTGTTTCTTTGCTAGGTGTCTGTATATTTTCTTTGAGGGGGAGGTTGTGGGTCTGTGTATTTCCATCTAGGGGGAGAAATCAATTGCTCAACTTTAATGGAGCTGCTTCTGGTTGGGTTAGATTGGGCAGTAGTGATTTGTTAGATGTATGCTGCTGCTTCCTTTGATTGTTGTGTTTCCTTCTATGTCTGACATATCTCCATTTGTTTTCCTTTAATTGATTTTACTTTTTTAAAAATTGTGATTTTTGTATCTCAGATTTTTTTTTTCATTACAGCCACCAAGAGATAATCAGCTGTTACAATATTATTCATGACTAACTTGTTAGCTAATGTTTTGATCTGGATATTATGCTGTGAAAGTCTGTTTCCCCTTTCAGGTGAACAAAGAATTCATGTTGCAATCTCTAAATCACAGACACTTTTGTTATAACAAACAACAAATAGTTGTTGGGTTACAACCACATTTTAGGCAGACAAAAGCAAAGTTTGCGATCACATGATTCTTGGGCACTCCAACAATTCTAAGTGCAAGTTGGTTGCCAAGCATTTGAATCACACTCATGTGACCATGGGCACTACAACAGCTGGATCTTCGAGGAACAGTGGAAGTTACTTAGCAACTTCAAAAGTTTCCTGATTATCTGTAATGCAAATTTGGCTCAATCCTATTGCTTAGAAGATACTAATGAGGCACAAGAAAAGATCATTTTTGAAGCATTATATACGGTACCATAAGCTGTTTAAACAGAGCTTTGTCCTGGGACAACAGACTAGCATTTGAGACCCATCAGGATAACCTAATGTCTTTAAATTATGTGAATTCTGCAATGTGTTGACTTCTTAGATCATAAATATGTGATAACCAACTAAACTGTAAATTTGCCACCACTATTGTCATCCAGTCACTGGGCTCTACACTTCTATGGCCATTTTGCTTGGGGTTGTGAGAGAGGCTGAAAATCCTCTATGCTTTGGGAGGGGAACTTGGATATAGAATATTGATTTTATAGAAAACTGAATGCAGATCTTCCAGGAGGTTCATATTCTTATGTCTAAACAAAAATAAACCTAAAAAAGCCTTTGCTCTTAAAAGTGTTACGTAGGTCGTATGAGGCAATTCCCATTCATGCAGCAGTTGTGATGGCAATACTGATCTCTTCTTGGAAATCAAAATACTAATATTTCCATGGGTTGAAATGAAAAAGTAGCCACTTGTTTTCCAGTCTCTAGAAAAGGAGACGTGGCTATTCTAGGAGCAGAGCTTTCTAGTTCAGGTTGGCAGTGGGAGAAAAGTCTCAGCACAGAGAACTAGGGGTGACATGACAGCAGTGTTCCAATATCTCAGAGGTTGCCACAAAGAAGAGGGAGTCAAGCTGTTCTCAAAAGCACCTGAAGGCAGGACAAGAAGCAATGGGTAGAAACTAATCAAAGAGAGAAGCAACCAAGAACTAAGGAGAACTAAGGGTTTCCTGCCTGAGCAGGGGATTGGACTAGAAGATCTCCAAGGTTCCTTCCATCGTCATCTTCTTCTTCTTCTTCTTCTTCTTCTTCTTCTTCTTCTTCTTCTTCTTCTTCTTCTTCTTCTTCTTCTTCTTCTTCTTCTTCTTCTTCTTCTTCTTCTTCTTCTTCTTCTTATTATTATTATTATTATTATTATTATTATTATTATTATTATTATTATTATTATTATTAATATTATTCCTCTTCTTCTTTTTCCTCCTCCTCCTCCTCCTCCTCCTCCCATTCTAGCCTTGGCAAAGGAGAAGATACATTAGGAAGGAGATCCTCTGCATGTTTTCACAGCTGAACTTTGGATAAGGAAAATACATGTAGAGAAGCAGATTGCTTTGACCCCAGGTTTCTACCTTTAGGCCTTTGCTTTCTCTCTGTTATTAAATAGAAGTCATCCAGCTTGGATGGTGGCCTTTCAGTCAGAATGACTTTATTTACTTTTTTACTTCCTTAATCCCTGAGCCTAATGTGGGAGACATCAGCTTCAAAGAGAAGAATGGACTATTGCTATTTGGCAGTATCTTATTACAAATCTTCCTGAATCTAGGGAGAGCAAAATTCCTTTTTCTAAGATAAAGGGCTCTTCCCCACCGCCATGTTTTTTGTTTGCTTGTTAGATTTGTTAAGGCTGCCCAACTGTAGAAAGATGTTAGTGTGTTCTCCTCCTATCCTTAAAAAAAATAGGTCAGTACTAATAGCATTGCCCCCCAGCTTCTAGATTGCTTAATCTAGGGTTTGAATAATGCTTCTGTTCTAACAAGTTAGCCTACATGTTTTTTCAGGAAACTGTAATTTTAAAACAGGAAAGGTGACTTATATCCGTTCTTGGTGATTTAATTTGCCTTGATTGAAATTAGTCCATTTTCCTGCTCAGTAACTAAACTTGTATTTGGGAGTTCTGTCTGGTAGATTTAATTCAATAGTTATCTCCTCTCCACCCATCATCTCGACTATCTTCTTTTGAGAACAAAGTCTGAGGGATACAAGTAAACTTCTTAAATAAAATCCTAATAAACTTTCTCTGTCTTTAGATCTCTGTTTCTGTATAATAATCTGCACAAGAGCTAATTCAAGTTAGCAAAATTTCGTTGATATAGTATTAAAGTAATTCTCACATACACTCATCATATAACTTACTGATAAGCTGTTATAATGATGGATTCATATATCATGCTAGGTTATTTATTTGTATGCTGTCTATTCCTAAAGACTTAGACAGGTTCAGGATTTAAACTGGAGTAAGGGAAAGACGTCATGGAGAATATTTTTGTGGTTGCTAAGAATTGAAAATGACTTGATGACATATAATTAATCAATAAATCATGGGAAGCAAGACAGATAGCATTGTCACTCCAGGTATTTAAGAAGTGAGTGCAAATTGTGCAGGCTAATGACCTTTAATAAAATGTGATAGTTGCAAAAGATGTTATCAGACTCCTGAATTTCTGCAAATATCTCATTAAGAAAATTTCCTTCTTACTGATATGGCTAGCCTAGAAATAAAAAAACATCAGAATAATTACTTCAAGTATCCTCTCTTAAGTTGAACATGTAAGGTTGGCTCTCTTTCTCCCCTTTTTAAAAAGGTATGTCTGCTTTGTATAACAGGATTAGTTTGGAATTAACAGAATAAGAGTTATATTTTAATTTGGTTAAATTGAACAATTTATTGGTTAGATTTATTGGTTATTTCCAGGCTTCAAGATTTCATTCTAAAAGATATTTTAAATTGGCAGTTTGTCAGATTATGATGGCCAGTAGCTAGATAGATCAGAGTCTGTGGTAGATTTCTTGGTCATCTGCATTAGTTTGTCAAGGATTTCCAAATTATAATAGCACTAATGGAAAGATTTTTTCTCCCTTGTCTAAACTGGGTTGTTGAGATGAAAGAATGCTTGTTTGGCCAGGTCTATAAACTCATTTTTGAGGCTGAAAATAATTCCTATGTTGCCACCATTTAATATTTGGTTCTAGATGGTCAGTTCTGTAAAAACAGAATTATAGAAAAATGGTTATGTAGCTATCAATCCAGTCCCTGCTAGATACAGAATATTGCAAACTAAGGTTTGTCAGTGTTGTAACCAAAGTTCACGATACTTCATCAAGATTGGACTGCCTTAAAGATTTCATTCATTCAGTAACAAATTTTATCATGGTTCAAAAATATCCAAAATACTCCATTTGGAGGGTTGGGATTTACTTTTTGGATGGCATGTAACCAAATTCACTAATTCTATAGAAATTGGAAAGAGCCCACTGGTCATTCATTCATTCATTTATTTGTATCAACCTTTATTATTTTTTACAAATAACTCAAGACGGTGAACATATCCAACGCACCTTCTTCTCTTATTTTCCCCACAACAACAACCCTGGCAGGTGGGTTGGACTGAGAGAGAGTGACTGGCCCAAAGTCACCCAGCTAGTTTCCATGTCAAGCTTTAAATGCTGCTGTACAGAATTTGACTGTCTTATGTGTAAAGTATGATGCCTGTTTAGTAAGACAACACAGTAATTGTTTGGACAACCTGAAATATTTAACTTTAAAAAATTGAAGTTACTTATTCTGCATGTTTTTGTAATATTCTTAATAAATAAGATGTAGCTGGCTGTTTTGTTTGCAACTGACTCACGTGTATGCTACTTCCTCCTAGGAAATCTTAATAAACTAGTCATCGACATCTACCAAGGCAGATGGTAATACCATATATTAAAGGGAAACCAGGGGAGGCCTCTGCAATATCTAGGGTAATAGATAGCAAGATAATCTATTTCTGAGACTTAATGTTACTGGAAAAGAGGTTTAGATGGTTTTATAATCTCATTGTTTAAGAATATCTATAGATCATTTATATTTCATTGACACCAGAAATACCTATGTGATAGTAATTAGTCCAGTGGGGCTTTCTTCAAGTCCAACTGATCTTAATCAAGGTTCATTTAAGGAGCCAAGCCTGCTAGACAAAACATCCATTTTAGTCCAGTCACTAGCCAAGATAATATTAATAATCGTATCTCCTAATTTTATATTGCATGAATAGTCAAGATGTTAATAAATTGCAAGTATTGTTACAATATACTGAGGACTGTTTTGTTCTTAATGTTTTCCAGAGGTATTGTAGCCAGCATTTTAGTTTTTTTGTGTTTTGGAGTCACTCAAGCAAAAGATGGTCCATTTTCAAGACCCCATCCAGGTAATCCAAGTAGCCCATAGCATTAAAATAGACTGATAAAGTAATCTTATGTAAATTTTGAAAACTGTCCTCTTTAATATACCTATCAAGATTTCCTTAATAAAATCTGTCGTAGCATTTTGAAAGTCCTAAAGATTCTATATGTACTAGTTTAGCCTTATGCCCAACTATAATATGTCTACGTTTTTCTTTTTTATTGATTTATTCTGCTAGCTTTCTGGAGGTTTTGGCTATGCGTCAGTGTTGTCTATGAGCTTTTCCTCATTTTCATACTTTTTCAGGTAAGGAATTTAAAGTTTGTATTTTAAAGAAAAACTTAAAGATAAAAAAGTAGAGAGTATAGTCATCAGCTTCACTTCTTACCATGAAAACATAAGTAACATCATTTCAATAGTCTATCTGACTATTGTTATTATAATACCTCCTCCCCTTTTTAATATAGTTTGGTTAACTCAAGGCAGTAAACATACCTAATACTCTCTCCTCCTATTTCCCCACAATAAAACCCTGTGACAGAGTGACTGGCCCAAAGGTTACCCAGCCAGCTTTCATGCTAAGGTGGGCTCAGAACTCATGATCTCCTGATTTCAAGGCCAGCACCTTCACCATTACACCAAACTGTCTTTCCAGTATTATAGTACATTATATAATGCAGCTTTCCCCAACCTAAGCATCTTGTGGATTTCAACTCCCAGAATTCTCAGCAGTGGGTTTGATTTAATCTGTTTGGCAGTAACTCTGCAGGATATTGGCTTGAGGTCTTTCTTATATCTACTGAACTTTCTGTAACTGAAGATTCCACAGATTTATTAATCTGGACCTTCTACAAATAAAATGGTCATTTCCTGTTTGCAATGCAAGAATCAAAATTTTATTTTAACTTCGTTGTTTTAGACATGCTTGTAAACATTCAAGCAACACTTTTAACTTATATCTTTCTTTGAAAAGTTTAGGATGGTTTGCTTTCTGTACTGGGACAAACCATTTAGCTAGTAGGATAATTGTTCTGCTGAAAATTTTTAGCCCTTTTTCCAGGTTTCAGTTCATCCTCAGAAGGAAAAAAATTACATCAATCTCAAACGGATAACAGCTAGTTTCTCTCTCTTTTTCAAGCAGAAGCAATGGCAATGTTCATATAACTTTTTCACTGGGTCATGGGTCAAGTTAATTTGTCATATGATTACCAAACCCCAGACAAGATCAGGGAGGGTCACTTCAATTATGATACAGCTAATGTGAATTTTTAGTGAAACAATTATTCTTGGAAAGTTTGGAAAAGCAAAAGGCATATTTTCTTAGGGATGGCCATAATCTGTAGAAAACTGATAAAACTTTGATTTTAAAAAAATTATAAGAACTAAATGGACATTAACAATATGCATGAAGCAGAAAAATGTTTGAAATGAAATATTTAGAATGGCTTGTTAGAACATGGAATATAGTATGTTCTGAATGAACTTTGGTCCAAAAGAATAAAATTTGAAACATTCTAAATTTTCCTTCATAAATACAGAATAATCTTATTCTCTTACTTTTTTCATCCCAGAATTCATCCCACAATTGCAAAAGTAGATTGTATGGTAGTTCACGATGAATGCTACTTGGCACCCAAAGCAAAGACAATTTTACATTGATCTTAAATATAATAAACAATGTTTTTATATTTTTTACAAGCATCCTTTCAGATAATGAAAAAAATAGTTGAGCGTACTTTCTGCAACAAGTGCCCCAGCCAAATAACATTTCCCAACAAAGAAGGAACAGTCATCCACAGAACAGTTCCAAAAATATACTTCTCCAGCTATTCAGTTGTACTTTCTTCCTAATACTTATGTGAAGTACACTCATATATTTGGCAATCTAATAAAGTAGAATATTTGTAGCTCAGGTTGACATGAAGGGTCCTTGATGCTCTCTGAGCATCAGTTCAATCTTGGTTTGATCAGATCAGAGAATCTTGCTCCTCACCAGTCTGAGGAGCAAGATTCTTTGATCTGATGAAACCAAGATTGAACTGTTTGGCCTCAATTCTAAACATTATGTCAGGCACCGTTGATCACCTGTACAATATCATCCCAACAATTAAGCATGGCAGAAAATCTCCCAATCCAGATGTGCAAAGCTTGTTGCGTCATACCCCAAAAGACTTGAGGCTGTAAATACTGCCAAAGGTGCTTCAACAAAGTACTGAGTGAAGGGTCTGAATGTCAATGTGCTATTTCAATCTTTTCTTTTTAATAAATTTACAGACATTTCTAAAATTTTGTTTTCATTTTGTCATTATGAGGTACTGAGTGTAGATTAATGAGAAAAAAATGAATGTTAATAACTGTAGAATCAGGCAGCAACATAACAAAATTGAAAAAAGTAAAGGGGTTCTGAATACTTTCTGAATGTAATTATTTGACATATAGCACTTTTTTTTGCACATCTAGGTATTTGATTGTCCCTCAGCTATATTCTCCTTCTGTTCTCAGATAGCCCTAGCCAGTATAAGCAGAGATTGAACCAATATGTTGTTTTATTGGCTAATGCAGTCTTGAATTCTTTGTATCTGGATTTTTTTTTAAACAAGCCATTTGCAGGAATATGGGGTAGTTTGAAAGAATCAAATGAAATAAGCCTAAGACAAGTATCCAGAATAGTGATATCTTGTTCCTAGTTCCACACAAAATATGGCTGTTTCAAACTTGGTATGTTGTATATGGTTTTTTCCTAAATACCTAAATTTCTTTCTTCAGTTCTTTTTAGGGTCTGGATAGCCATTATATATGTATATTTTTGGGATAGCCATTATATATGTATATGCACATTTTTTTATATTGCCAATTTAACAAATATAACTTTTTAAAAGAAATGTTGATGTTCTTGAACATGTATTTAATTTTGCAGACTGTACATGATGGAAGACAGTTTATGAAATTTATTGATCCTAATTTAGGAGTCCCTTTGCCTGAAAGAGACTATGGTGGAAATTGCCTTATATATGACCCAAATAATATAACAGATGCCTTTCACAACATTTGGGTAAGATGCCAAAATGGAGAGATTGTATTCATTTAATAATATTTTATGTCTTAGGATTTTGTACTTCTTTGATTACCATGGATGTCTGATAATTGTTGCCTAATCCAATATCAGTTATTTCATAACTAAGAGTCTGTCTTCAGTGATTCCATCGATGAGGTCCAATGCATCTTTCTGAGAATTTCAGTCTTCATTTCTTTAAAAGCAAATTTTAACTTGGAGGACAGACTGCAGGTAGACCTTGTTTAGTGACTGCAGTTGGTTCAACAACCTGGTCATTAAGTGAAGTGATTGCTATGGTAAGTGAGGACCTCTCTGAGAGAGAGATGCTGTGAAGATCACTGATTGTTGCTGTCTCATTTAGATAAAGTTCTCTCACATAATGGCCTGTGCTTGATTTATCCCCCCCCCTTTTTTTTTTGCTCTCCTGCAGGGTGGAGAGATTGCTTAAATAAGATATTTTTTCCTGAGCTGCTTCTCAGTGTAGGATTTCCTTAAAAAATGTTAACTACAAGTTAACAAGATCACTGTGACCTTTATTAGTTGAGTAGAAGTCTCCAGGCCTCATAGCTGCTGCGTGAAACTGACCAGAGCTTAATCAGTTTCACATTAAAGGCTTTTTAAAATCATATCTCAGAGTGGAAAGCATTCATTACTATTGTATTTGTGAATGGTTGTTATTCAAAGTGGTTGTTAAATTTTACTTGTAGTAAAATTTTGAAACCTGTGTCATTTCCTACGCATAGGAGCTAAGATATTACTGCCTTGCATATGGCTGTGTTTTTTGTTGTTGTTTTTGTTCTTTTTTTATAATTAACCAAATGCAGAACAAAAATAAAAATGTTGTCCAATGTTATTAATTTATGTATAAATATTGTTACATTGAATGTGGATTTTTGTAATGCAAAATGTATGCATGTTTCTGTAACCATCTACTAATCTGTGTAGTAACTTAATCATGCTCTCCATTCCTCCATAATTGTATATTAAGAGTTGACTTAAATTATTTAATTATTCCCACACTTTTAAGATAAATTAAAGGAAATCTATATCTGTTATCTGCAGTTGTTAAAATCCATCTTTCTAGACTGCAGTGTGTTGGCTGTTGAGTCTATAAAAATGTGAATTACATAATATTTATTTTATGAAATAAAAAGCTGGTCCAAAACATTGATGCCTGAGATCTAAAGAACAGATTGGGACTCATACTGTAGACTTGTGGCTCAAAGGTACAAAGGTTGAAAGTTAAGATAATCATGTTTGTTTGAGGTTTTGCTGGGTTGAGATATACATAACAGCAGAATTTAACATCTCAGGAACATTATATGGTCAGATATTGTATTATCTAAGATAAGAACACATTTTTCATCTTCCAGATGAAAATTGAAAAAAGAACAGTAATCTTTTTGTTATCTGGTTGATGGAAAAATATATACTATACATTACATGTGAGATGTAAAATTTATTTTTTTAATAATTTAACAAATATTTTTAAAACATCGAAGATGTTTCATGTTGCATATGGAAATATATGCTTCAGTAGTCATTGTCATCATTTATATTGATTTACTTTATTACATAGAAAGTAACTCTAATCTGTATAATCTACTTGAATTACAGGATAAACTAGATGGATTTGTTCCTGCTCATTTCCTTGGTTGGTACTTAAAGGTGAGAATTGGCCCTTTCTTTGCTTAATTACTTCCTATAATTCTGAACTCTAATTGGTTGGCAGTACTTCAAGTGCTGCTTATTCTTTATAATTATCACTGGTCATCAAAATTCTTTTTAAAATAAGTTTCTGACAGTAAACCTCTGTTTTACTGTTGAATAGCTTTAAATCTTAATCAGTTAAGGTATTAAGCTATTTTTTTAGCTATGTTACGATTAAACTAATAGACAGATAAATGCATCACTATTTCCCTCTTAATATACAAAGTATATAATGAACAGAGAAATGAAGCAGTCCTGCTTTGTAATTATTGCTAAGAAGTTGTTGGTTGTGTATTCGTATCTTTTGTCTTGATAATTACTCAAATTTATTTTAGTCTTAGAACGTCTAGTCATTATTAACTATAACTTTGTAATGCATCTATGAAGGCTCCTCTAGTTGCTTTTGCTGACAGAAAAACCAGTTCAGGTATACAGGTAGTCCTCGACTTACCACCATTCATTTAGTGACTCTTTGAAATTACAGTGGCACTGAAAAAGTGACTTATGACTGGTTTTCACACTTGCCACCATTCAGCATCCTCGTGGTTACATGATCAGAATTTGTGTCGGTTCCACGGTCTTGGGATCATATGATCACCATTTGTGACCTTCGCAACCAGCTTCCCACAAGCAAAGTTAATAGGAGAAGCCAACTCTACTTAATGACCAAATGATCCACTTAACCACTGCCATGATTCACTTAACAACTATGGCAATAACGGTTGTAAAATGGGCCAAAACTCACTATCTTGCTTAACAACAGAAATTTTGGGCTTCATTGTGCTCATAATTCGAGGACTACCTGTATGTATAGTTCAATTGAGTAATTTAAGTTCCTGCTTGAAAGTAAACTCAATATTTTGTGCTACAGATGTTTTTGAGAACCTTTGTTCTCATCTTCAAAGGACTACTGGAACTTGGTGTTCTATCTACAATATATTATAAGCAAAGGTGGAGAAAAAAATAATTTGATTCACATTTTAACACCAGCTTTCTTAATTTATACTTCTTCACTTAATACATGAATCAGAATACTATTATCCTTTGCAATCAGAACCATGCATATAAAAATGCAAATAATTGGGGAAAGTAGCATTTGAAAACCCCTTTATGGATTACTGCCTTGTCATGGCGAAGGGGCTTGCGTAACTCAATGAAGCTATAAGCTATGCCGTGCAGGGCCACCCAAGACGGACAGATCATAACAGAGAGTTCTGACACTGGAGAAGGAAATGGCAAACCACTCCAATGGCAGAAAGTGAAGAGGAGAGTGCAAAAGTTGGCTTGAAACTCATCATTAAGAAAACCAAAATCATGGCATCCAGCCCTCTCAATTCCTGGCAAATAGATGGGGAAGAAATGGAGGTAGTGACAGATTTTATTTTTCTGGGCTCCAAGATCACCTCAGATGGGGACTACAGCCAAGAAATTAAAAGACGCTTGCTCCTGGGGAGGAAAGCTATGGCAAATCTAGACAGCATACTAAAAAGCAGAGACATCACCCTGCCAACAAAAGTGCGTATTGTCCAGGCCATGGTTTTCCCAGTTGCAATGTATGGCTGTGAAAGTTGGACCATAAGAAAGGCTGAGCGCCAAAGAATTGAGGCCTTTGAACTATGGTGCTGGAGAAGATTCCTGCGAGTCCCTTGGACTGCAAGGCGTTCAAACCGGTCAGTCCTAGAAGAGATCAACCCCGACTGCTCAGATCCTGAAGTTGAAACTCAAATACTTTGGCCACCTAATGAGAAGGAAGGACTCACTGGAGAAGGGCCTAATGCTGGGAAAGATTGAGGGCAATAGAAGAAGGGGACAACAGAATGAGATGGCTGGATGGAGTCACTGAAGCAGTAGGTGTGAACTTAAATGGACTCCAGAAGATGGTAGAGGACAGGAAGACCTGGAGGAATGTTGTCCATGGGGTCGCAATGGGTTGGACACCACTTCGCAATTAACAACAAAAAGCATTTGAAAAACACTGGCAAGGAAATTGCTTAGTAAGTTTATTAAATGATATGTTGCATTGCACATGAGAATGAATATTGATTTTTATTTTAAATATCATAAATTAGTGCAGATATATAATGCTGGAAAACAATGGTAAGCATTTACTATTCCTATTCACAAGTTAAATGTCAGTGAGACATTTTTTCTTCAATATTGGGTAATGCAAATTTGGACTAATCTGCAGAATAATTTTCTTCTTTCATAATTTGCTTAGACACTAATGATTCGGGATTGGTGGATGTGCATGATTATCAGTGTAATGTTTGAGTGTCTGGAGTACAGTCTAGAACATCAGCTTCCAAATTTCAGTGAATGCTGGTGGGATCATGTAAGTATTAATTACTCTCTTTAATTGTTTGGCATATAGTGATGCAAATTCATTTTTCAAAAAGTCATTCATAGGGTTTAGTTACCAATTAAATATGAATAACTTTGGCAAGAGTAATTTGTTACAGAGTCTTTTTTCTAGGGACCATCTAGCATTGAACTCTGATATCCTCGGATTCATGAAAATGATCTGCAATTTCTTTTATTTCTAATTTTATGTAAGATACACATGAACCTGAGAGCCAGTTTGGGTAGTCCCCAACTTATGATCACAATTGGAACCAGAATTTCAGTCACACTTTTGTCATCACCTGACCAGACCCGATTTGACAACTATTACTTTTTTTTTTTGGTGGTGGTGATTAAATCAGTCATCATGCTTGTTAAGAAAATTATCTGGTATTAAATAAATAATGCAATTGTTAAGTGAATCCAGCTTCCCCCATCAATTTTGCTTGTTGGAAACCAGCTGGGAAGGCTACAAATCGTGACAACATAACCACAGAGTTGATGCAATGGTCGTAACTTCAAGGACCAATTGTAAGCCACTTTTTTGCAGGACTGTTGTAACTTCAAACTATCATTAAACAAATGATCATAAGTCAAGGACTACTGTAGTAGTTAAGGCATCTGTGAATTCTAATCTCACCTTAGACACAAAACCAGCTGGAGACCTTGCGCTAGTCATTATTTGTATGTTAATATAACATTACTAATGAAATTTATAAATAAAAGTTTAATTTTTGTTAAATGATGCATTCTGAACTGAACAAAAAAAAATCAGCAAGGAAAGAATCAAAGATGAAGTGAAATGGGCAAGGAGAGAACAGATTATATGTCTTGACAAAAAGTGTTAGACCAGTGGTTCTCAACCTGTGGGCCGGGACCCCATTTGGGGTCAAACGACCATTTCCCAGGGGTCACCAAACAACACAGTCCGCCATTTTTTCCCCCCTTTTCCTTAGCTGTGCTACTCCCTTTTATTCTATTGGCTTTTGAAAGCCAATAGAATAGACTCTCTTGAATAGAGTCTAATTCTATTGGCTTTCAAAAGCCAATAGGAATTGTCCAGGCTGTCTCTGCCCTGCTGAGCCCGCCAAAAGTCCCATTCTGCAAACGGTGCTGCACCAGTTGAGTAGTCCTCGACTTACGACCGGTTGAGTAGTCCTCGACTTACGACCGGTTGGGGGGTCGTGGCATTAAAAAGGTTGAGAACCACTGTGTTAGACCAACCCAAATTTCGTAACTAAAAATTAAGGACATATATATCTTAGCTGGTTAATATAGAAAATAAACTGACTAATAGATGGAAAACTGAAAAATGAGTAGGATGAAGTTCTTTTTATCATTTTCTGTTGAGAAGATATGCTAATTCTATAGATGAAATCATTTTATGGGCTAAGAAGCCGTCTGTTTTGCCAAAATATTGGTTATATATAATTGATATTTTGAAGTGCTATTTAGTATTTTATAAGGGCTGTGTGTGTGGTATGTGTGTCTGTAATGTATGCATAATATGTATAGAAATTGCAGCACCATTATTGCTATAGTCACAGATTGTGATGGATCATTAAATTATTATTATTATTTGTAGTGGATTATGGATGTAATCTTATGCAATGGACTTGGCATTTACTGCGGAATGAAGACTTTGGGCTGGCTTTCTTTGAAAACATATAAATGGCAAGGACTTTGGAATATTCCCACATATAAGTATGTTCGGTTATAAAATTTTATTTCTAAGGCAGAAAAATGCAAATATTATAACTTTTATCACTTTTTATCCTAATGAATCCTAAATTGCTTAATTTGAAGTGAGGTATCCAGTTTATTTGGATACAGATAGGTTTTAATCTAGGATAAATTAATAATTATAATAGTTTCATAAATATTATGAAATGAAATATATAAATAAATAGGCTAATTATGGATTATTACTATGTATACAAATGTCTTTTTGGGTAGAAATTTGAACATAGTTGTGTAAAGTATCGTTTTATTTCTTAAATTACAAAAATACTTCTATATACTCCCAAATCTTTTTTGTTGTTTTGTTTTTATATTTTAGTTTCTGCCTTACTTCTGGGTTGTTATTTATGCTATTTTAACATTTTCAGTGTTTTTGTTTATCACACTTTATTTAATAGAAAGTTTTTAAAAAATTAACATGAGATATTTTTAATTTCCCCTCCAGAGGTAAAATGAAGAGAATTGCCTTTCAATTCACACCATACAGTTGGGTTAAATTTGAGTGGAAGCCAGCATCCAGCCTTCGCAGATGGCTAGCAGTGTGTGGCATTATTTTTATTGTAAGGGTAATTTCTTTCAATGAACTAATATAAGTATTTCAAATAGTTTTTATTTTCAAAATACTGTAAACAGATTTCTTGCTTTTTTCCCACAGACACCCTAAGTTTGACATAATAAAAATACAATTTATCTTGCAGAATTCCTGCTTTCGTGCCAAGAGCTAAGTAAAGAAAAGGAAAGAAGAGGTCATGATAGTCCCCTTTAATTTAGAAGACTCTATAAATACTAAACGATATATAAATTGTATAGGCTAAGGGATGAGTGTTCACATGCAAGAAACACATTTTATTTCAGTATCTATTATACTGTAAGAAAATGATTCCCTGATCATACAAACCACAGGAAGTAGAAACCCTCCCCACCAAAAGCAGTTCGTTCACATGTGCACATAATTGGTAGATAGGAAAACTGGTAGGGAAGAAAATGTAATTCTGACTTTGTAGTTAGAGACAAGACTGTGCTTGGTATTCTCTGTTTAATCAAATGCAAACTTTCATCTGGGGAAAAAAGAAAGGAAGTAAAGAACATTTTTCTGCATTTGTCAAAATTAGTCTTCTTGAATGATGATCTGATTTTATTGCTTGAATACATTTGTTTTAAAGTTTGATCTTTTGAATCTGTATATAGGAAGTGACTCTTAAAATAGTATGATTAGCAGGTTAGAATCACTGAGATATTCAGTTTGTAACTTTGTATTGAATAATTATGTTTATTCTAACAATTCACTTCCATAATTTTGAATACAGAACATCAGTAATTACTGCATGGACAACCACATTCTCATTTGGACATTGTAGTACCTGGTCATTTTATCAAATTTCCATTCTATAATAGATAACAATAGGGAAACAGCAGCATCCAAGAAATAGGGGGTAATGACTAAAAATACAGTTTCATTTCTTTAAATTGTTTATGGAAACACTACTTTGTTAACTTTGATAGTATTTCTTTGGCAAGACATTTCATGCATTCAAATTTATACACTTTGAAGAATTGTGACCTATTTTAGGTTTGAATAACAGGAAATCTCCTAAGTGATTGAATGGTGTGTGTCAGTTTTTATTGGCAGAGTTGAACACATTTTACTTGAAATTTGTCCTGTGGATGCCTCCAGAACACTATTTGGTCCTGCTGCGACTTGTCTTTTATGTGAATGTGGGAGGAGTAGCTATGAGAGAGATCTATGATTTCATGGATGATCCGTAAGTTATTTTTCTTATTTAAACTCAGTTGCTTTATTTTTAGAACTGGTGATGTTTCCTGCAAATTGTTGAGAAACATTGTTCACCAAAATAATGAATAAATCTATCTGTTATTTCAAGGAAAAGCATACTATCTTTTTTTCCAGGCATCAGATATATAATGCTTGACAAATTAACATTTCTGCTTTATTATAACATTACTTTGCCGCATGCCATTTTCAAACATACAGTAGTGCACAACAGTTGGAATGAAGTTTATGATTTGGACTAATTCGAATGCAAATAGTTTTTGCAAAGGAAAATTTCAGATAATGTTTTAAAAGTAATGTCATAGCCTGAGGATGTTGTTAAATCTGGATTTAGCCTAAAGTATTTGTAATCTTGGTTTTCTGACACTATAAAGACACATTACAGTTATTCATATTTTGTAGCATTATGGCCTCACTGAGCAATGCATGAAGTAAACACCTGCCTGCTTATTATTTGTTGTTTGTTTGTTGTGTTTATCAAACACTAGAACACAAATCCATCTAGTTGATTTTTGTTTTATTGTATTTTTGTTTTAAGTTTAGTGATAATGAAGCAAACTGATTGACCCCACAACTTTTCAGCATACTGTTTTATCTCTGACCATTAGAGAAATGTCTGTATTTAGTATCTAGGATTCCAATACTTTATGAAAATCACTTGTTGGTCTTTGATTCCTAGAGCAGGGAAGAATGGCTAAAGATGATTACTTTAGTTGGATTTCAGGATATTGAGCAATGGCATTCAGACCATTCTCTGACCCCCTCATTTTGGACCTGCTGATATGGAATATACTTCCTGCTTCAAAGTAGGAAAAGATCTCACTTCTTACTAGAGAGCTTCTCCCCTTAATATTTTGGTTCATGTTTCGTTCTTTGTGTTTGAGTGGAAAAAGAATCTGTCTTTTATTCTTTTGCCCTCTGTTCAACCACATGCCATAACATTGGAAAAGGGAAGCTTCATCAATCTCAAACACCTCATTACCAATTGACTGTATTGCCATTCTTTGCCAATAGAAGATATGGAAATCAAAGGAAAAGATTCAAAAAAATGATCCTATATATAACAATTTCCTAACTTTCTTAATTTTTATTATGGAGAAAGTGACTACTGATGGTATTTCCCAGTTCCACTACAGCAGGCATGTCAAACTGCCGGCCTACGGGCCAGATGCATCACGCCGAAACTGCACCCACCCCATTGCTGGCAATGGAGAAAAGGTTCCAATACGTCGCGCGATGTCACGTGATGCCGCAAGTTTGACATGCCTGCACTACAGTTTCAATTTCTGCACAAATATAAGAATCTCCTCAGTCCTACACTTCTTAATAGAAGGAATTAAAAGCAAACTGTCTATAGAACTGTTCCCTTATAAAACATACATAAAGGTATATTTCTGTTTCTGAGTATTTCCAAAGATTAATGAAGATTTTTTCCCCTTCCAGTCTCATACACCATTCTGTTAGGCGGTCTAAGGGTTTATGTAACTTATTTTTAAATAAAAGACTACGTTCAGAGGCTAAACTGCTCATTGAATGCTCTGCAAATGTTCAGATATTCAGATACACCACTATGCAGACTTTTCATGATATGTTGAGAGCTATGGGCCAGGGGTTATTTTGGAAGTGGGGTTCAGATATTTTAAGGGGAAAATGTTTCAAGTATTTTCATTCTTTTTCTCCTTCAAGCCATATTTCTTTGAAAAATGTACAAGAAAGGGGCTCAAGGCCTTGGCTTTACCTATTCTGGATGGGCTCTGATGATTGTAAAGGAATAAGCCAATAAGTCATACCTTTTTGCAGCCTGTGTCTTGTTTTCTATGTTGCACATAGCTGATAGAATAAGAGTGATAAAAGAATATCCCCACCATTAAACCAAGTATTTGGTTTGGTGATACAGAATACAAGGTCATATTTGCAGAAATGTGACAATCCAGTTCAGCAGGATTCTTGACGCTAGGAAATAGATTAAAGGGCTGTAGGATTAACATTCCTTGCTGTAGCAGTTGCTATTGTTTCCAGCATTCCTTCATGTAGATTTTTCCAGGGTGGTGGTTTAAAACAACAGAAACTAGATATGGTACAGAAAAACTACTAGATACTAGATGTAAAAACAGGGTCCAAAAATACTTGATTTTAATAATTTTCTTAGAGCTGTCCTTCACCCATCTTATCATAAGTCTGCTTTGTAGGTATAGCAAAATGCTTTGCCAAATTCTTCATTTATAATTAACCATGCAGAATTGATGTACTTTCTCTTCTTTATTAAAAAGCTAAATTATAATATAATAATATTGCAGCACGGTGAATACAGTGGTACCTTTGTACTAAACAGCTTTGGAATTCATTAAATTTGGTACTCAATGCATTTTGACATAATAATTTTGTCCCAATATTCATTGTTTCTTTGGTACTCAACGCACAAGCTAAAAATTGTCAGTGTTGGTTCCCTGTGACTCACTATATTATTCTTTATCATACTCATTGTTTGTTTGGTACTCATCACACTTCCTGGAATCGATTAATGATGAATACTTAGTAACAGTTTGTTCAAGTGTCTGTGGAACCTGTTTGTTGTTAAATCCCCACCCACTTCTATTTTCTTTCTTTCTTTCTTTCTTTCTTTCTTTCTTTCTTTCTTTCTTTCTTTCTTTCTTTCTTTCTTTCTTTTCCTTCCTTCCTTCCTTCCTTCCTTCCTTTTCCAAGACACTGACCACAGGCATTTAGAAACAGCTCTCCATGGAGCATCACTCCCTCTTCTAACTTTAGGGAAGGAATTGCTTTTTTCCTACTGTTGTCAGCAAAGAAGTACAGGATGGGCCAGAAACCATTTCTCCCATTAATCATATCTTTCTCATTAAAACTTCTGAGTATCTTCCCAGCCTCCCAATCTTTATGCTGCTGCAACAGCACCCATCTGATAGATCTTTGAAGTGTCTCCCCTCTCTGCCTCCTTCCTTCACAAACATCCCTATTATGAAATATGCACATATCCTGCTCAATCTTCCTAGCATTGTCCCTCTTGCCCCAGAACTTAAGCATGAAACCACCCAGAAGCATAGGGATTTTGTAGGCCGTGGCATGTTCGGAAGCGATGGGCGCTCACGGTTGTGTGCAAAGCAGGCATCCTTGCTACTCACACAGAAGCATCCCCTCTCCCTCCCTCCACCAGGCCACCAAGCTGGAAAGGTTGGAGACCACTGTTGTAGGGGAAGCCATAACTGCTGTCCAGATCTCCTGCCCACGTAAAAGATCGGCTTGTCATTTTGGAATGCTTTGGGGAATTAAATGTCCTTTGTAACTAAACCACTAGAACAAGGTTGGTTAATATACCGCATGTATATAAAATGTAGTTTTATCAACATAGAAATTTGGGTTACCATTCTGATCAATATTTGTATGATAGACATTTACTGTTATTTATGGGATAACATTTTGTGGACTCTAGTCCACTTCGTCAACCTTTTATTTCAGCCTTTGATTTTGGAGCACACTAGAGTCTGTCTGAAAAGCAGTTGCTTCTGAAGCTATTCTTCCTGGGTACAGTATAGAGAAGCATCTCAAGATAACATTTTGATAATATTACAGTGAAATTGAGATTAACTGAAGTAATTCAATTTAATCAGCAAATTTTCAAAATAATGCATGTTGTGGATTTGCCTTGTAAATAATATTTTGGATACAAATATATACATATATGCTATTACTTTTGTTTTATTGCAGGAAATTCCATAAGAAGCTGGGTCAGCAAGCTTGGCTGGTTGCTGCTATCACAGCTACAGAGTTCCTTATAGTGATAAAATATGATCCATACACTTTGACACTGTCACTCCCTTTCTACATTACTCAGTGTTGGATCCTTGGAATCATGCTCGTGCTTGCCTGGACAGTGTGGCGCTTTTTCATTCAGTAAGCAAAATTTGATTCTTGACCACCTAGCTAGGCCTGTAATCTTTAGGTTGTTTCTATGGGAATTTTCAAATACTATGGTATTTTCAAGATGCCAAAGTTGGAAGACTCGCTAATAGAAACTCACCTTCTTGTTGATTGTCAGGTAACCTTTTAATTAAGGGCCTTTAATACAGCCTTAATTATAACACTAGTTGCCCTATAATTCTAAAAGAAGCACTCTTTCGGTTCACACTAGATCAGACATGTCAAACACAAGGCCCGGGGGCCGGATGCGGCCCGCAAAGTGGTTTCATGTGGCCTGTGAAGCCATCCTGGAAACAGTGAGGAAACAGCCCCTGCTGCCTTGGCCCTGGCCCAGGCCAGTCGGGAGGGAGCCAATGTACAATTTTGTGGTGGCCATCTATGCTGAAACGCATTCAGTCTTAGCTCCACAAGGTCATCTGGAAACAGCGAGGAACCAGCCCCTGCCGTGTTGGCCCCGCCTCCTGGGTGCATGCTGGAGAGGTGTCACCCTTTGTGAGGAATGAAGAAATGCACCATCACCTGGAAGTGGCCAGCAAATGGCTCTGGCCTACTTCACATATCCAACTTGATGGGATCCGGGGGAGGGTTTCGGCAGGCAGCTGGGCACTCTCCTCACAGCGCCAAGAGGCTGAGCCGGGTGGCATGAATCTGATGAGAAGTGCAATGCTGCCTAGCCCCAGCCTGCCCAGTTTCAGCAGGCAGCAAGGTACAAAATTGGCGAGCTTCACACTGCCCTGCTTAACCTCTCGTTGTGAGGAGAGCGCCCCACTGCCTGTCGAGACCGGGCAGGCTGGGGACTGGGCGGTGTTGCACTTTTCGGATTCGCGCCACCTGGCTCAGGCTCTCGGCACTGTGAGAAGAGTGCCTCGCTGCCTGCCGAAACCGGACAGGCTGGGGGCTGGGTGGCATTGCACAGGTAACATTGACTCTCATGCTGCTCATGGCATCCCCCCCCCCAGAGCCTACCAAGCCAGATATGTGAAGTAGATGAGGGCCATGTGCTGGCCACTTCCAGGCGATGGTGCATTTCTTCATTCCTCACGAAGGGTGATACCTCCCCAGCTGCATTTCTTGCCTGTTTTTCTCCCTCCCTCACCTCAAATATTTTCCCACCACTCTGTACTTAGGAAGGAAAGAAGGAAAGGAGAGGGAGGGTCTGAGGAAAGTCCTGCCTTAGTCCTGCCCTGCTGCCCTTTCACAATCCCCCTGCCCCCTCCTTCTGGCCTATCCTGGGGATCTCCCATCCTATTGCCAAGGAAGTTTTGGATACAAAGCCGGGCTCCCATAGAGAAGGAATGGGCCTCCCTCTGACTTTGCCCTCGTACCCATCATGAACAATCTGGCTAAGGAGAGCAAACACAGCAGTAGCAGCTTGAGGTAAGTGCAACTGGGCGCCCCCTTAGGGAAGTGGGGCTGGGCTTGGTGCCGCGGGTGCTCGAGGGCCAGGCTGGGTGTTTGACCTCTGCTGGCCCAGGGCTCTGGGCAGCCCGCACCACCTTCCAGCCCCCCCCCCACATGGCCTGAGAGGAACAGTGAGGCTCCTCCAATGGACCATGCTTTGGCACTTGCCCTGATCCCACCCCTTCTGCCAGAGATCCTCAGATCTGTCCCACTCCTGCCCAGGCCCCCACAGGCATCATTGACGCGAACAGTGTAGAGCTGGCCACGCCCACCCTATAAGCCATATCCACTCCATCCGCACCCACCCAGTAGGCCACACCCACCCTGGCCACACTCACTTAGCCCCCCCAAGGGCAGCAGCAATGCTGATGCGGCCCTCAATAAAATTGAGTTTGACACCCCTGCACTAGATGTTATTTATTTATTTATTAAATTTATATGCTGCACATCTCATCAATAAGAGAGAAAGAGTATACCACAGTAACCACCAAAATGAAATTTCTTATCTAGAAGATTTTTTTGCTCTTTCTTATCGAAATAGATAAATGGACAGAAAGAAACCCCATGTTTGACAGAATGTATCCCATTTGTCTATGCTCCCCATCTCTGAGAAAGGAGGGCTGCAGGATAACTTGCTTTGGATTCAGTTTCAAGGTTCCACATAAACATATTTTGGGGATCATAACCCTTTTATTGGGATTAGCAGCACTGGATTCCAGGAAAAGATACAGCTGCTTAAAGGTATTGCAGAGGGATGCTACGTTCATCCTCCCACACGCCCTGAAGTACTTTTCTGGAGATCAGATCTGAAGTGCTGCCCAGACATTTCCGCTTTGTGTTAAGAAATCTCTGAAGAGTTGGGCGGGGCGAGGTGTTGTGAGTGGATCATCTTCTAGTTTGTTTATTTGGAAGGCTGTTTAAAACTTATAGCGCTTTTTAAATAGAATTAAGAGGTGCTTGATATTCTCAAAACGTAGCTTACAATTGTCTGAGAGAAATGAAAGCTATAGAGGTTTATTGCTTTTTGTTTTTAAAGAAAAAAACAATTCTTAACTTGCAATAGTGGTGAGTACTCCACAAACAATTCCATCAACAGACACACTGACCTACAACCAGCCTATGAACCCCTCAGGATCCAAATCAACTGCACAGCCAACCAGAGACAGCACCGACCTTCAACCAACCCATGCAAGCCTCTCTCCTCCCCAGCAGTTCACCTCCCATCGACCCTGACCTGATGTAACCTCCCCATCACAAGCCTCTCACTGATGACTCACACCTGACCCATCATAGACCCTCACTTGACACACCCACACCTGAAGCCCTTATAAACAGAAGAACATTGACACTGACATCCCCTACGCTCTGCCGAAGATGTTGCCTAGCCTAGTAATGAAACGTTTGGAAACCAACCCACAAGCTCAGAGAATGAACCTTCACATACACACATCCTAATTCTTAACTTGTTTTTTGTTTGTTTCAGTGACATCACCTTACGGTGTAAAGAGATAAGAAGGCAAAAGCAAGAACACAAATTTGGAAAGGAAAAGTATTTAAGCAATGGTGATAGACAATCTATACTGGTAAACGAATACCTGAAGAATAAACTAAGAGAGAAAAAACTTTGATCCTGAGTCATCAGTGAAGGGCTAAGAGGGTTATTTTCTTGATTTTCAAGTTTAACCCTCCCTCGTTTTGTAATTTTCAATGTTTTCTCATGTGTGAGAATCCTTTTGGAAAAGATGCCACTTAATCTCTTTTGAGGACAGTGTTTACAACTTACTGTAGAAGTAGTGCTTCTTCCACAAGGGAACCTCAAACAAACTGTGGTAAATGTGGGTGCCACCTGAGAAAGAGGATTGGGGAGGCTTTAACCAATTCAAAGGCTGCCTCCCCATTCTGGAAAACTGTTACCATTTGGGTCAACATGAACATGATGATTTATTTTATGAAATAAATCGGTGCACTGTGAAAAGCAGTTTGATGTTTTCTGCTGAAACTAGTTTAAGCTATAGTGATAATGTCCGTGTTCTTATGATTCATTTAACAATACAGAAAAGAGGGATGCAACTGAAGTATGAGAACAAACTGCAAAATTTGCACAGTACATTACTGCAGCCAGCCTTTGAAAGTCCTGAATTTAGCTGCCTGGATCTCAAAGCAAAGGTGCTTTACTTTGAACAACTGGCTACTACATTACACTCGTAAATACCTCTTTGTTGACTGTCTCTTTAGGAAAGGCATCTCTTTAGGAAGGATGCTGATTAGCCAAATAATGAAAATGAAGACAAAAAACGGTAGAAATGTGTCCTATTCTTAGTCATATGAGTCAAAGAGAACCTTAGTTTTATTCTTCTGCAAATAAGATACTTACTGTTCTTGCCAGGACTGTGTTTGGGTGTTGCTCTGTTGAATAAACCAAAATATATGATATGGATGTTCAGAATCATTTTTTTTTTAACTTCTAGAATAGGGATGGGCCCAAGTGTCCTTTCAGATATTATCAAACAGTTCTCATCAGCCCAGCTAGCATGGCTACCTAGGCTGGATGATGGGATTTGCCCATCTCTGTTGTAGAAATTAGGGCAGGAAGATTTATGGGCAAGTGGTATGGACATAATCAGCCACTAAATACTGATAGAAATATATTATCATCTCTCAAGCCTCTTCTAGACCAAGGGCAGCAGCTGCCTTGCTTGTCACATCCTCTCAAAATAATGTTTGTTTTATGAACATCTTGAATTGTTTTTGTATTTTTAAAACAGCTAGATCAATTTAACTTACACAGGTAACACTGATTTTTATCTTAACACTGTAATTGGATCTCAAATAATTAGACTAGGGGGAATTTAGTTTGAAATGTTTTATTGTTTGGACATGCATATAAGCTAAAATGGTGTATTTCTACTTGCCTCTTCTCCCTGTACGATCTCAAAGTGCCGCTACTTAAAGCACAGTGCACAGATCTTGGCTCCCTTTTATGATAATACTTGAACTGCAAAATAAGTCTGCCCTTGCCTTGTTTCCAGGATATCACTAATATTCTCCTCTTAAACAATGGACACTTTCAGGAAAAGAAAAAAAAATCCATATAAATGAATGTTGAAAAGCTCACCAGAAGCCACAGGTTGAAATTCTTCATTGAGTACCTAGTACATTTCACTTTAAGATTTACATAAGTCCTTATCTGTTTTGTACTAGTAGATTCTGCCCCCTTTGTAATTTTGTATTGTAAAGTCTTTCACGTAATTCTGGTGGTAACAAGTGCAATGGGGAAAAACTTGAAAATAATTTTGTTTGATTTGTTTTTTTGTTGAGGAAGTAATTGTGTAAAAACTGAAGTATGTGAAAAATACTACTTTAGTTTTCAAAATTGAAGCTGACTTACTCTCAAACCATTACTTTCATACTGATCTTTATGTTCTTGCAAATAGTCTGAAAATTATAATATGGCAAACTGAACAAATGTAATAAAAGAGTATTTGCTGGTATGCTTCTGAGTTATTTATTTAACTTTATTTGGGAAGGGAAGTGGTTCTCGTGCTCCCACCCATGTGGATAGTTTTACATACATACATAATTATCAGCTCAGCTTTGCATTGTTTTTTCTTCTACCTCACCATCACCAATTCATACATTATATTTGTTTTTTAAATTTCCCAGTTTTCTTTTTCAGAATCCCACCTGTCTTATTTCCTATTTAACACCAAACCATTTTAAGTACTTTATTTATTATTCTCATACTTGCTTTATTCTATACTGTATTATAATTGTATTATACTATTATACTAATAGTATATTGTTATACTATTATAATCGTATTATAATATTATACTATTATATAAGCTCCCACTATATTCAACAACCAGCCGTCACACCATATTTGTGCAAAGTATTCTGTAATTCAAACCTATTTATTTTATTGCACGTGTTTTCTAATCCTCAAATCTATAGTAGATGTTTCTCACATTCATACATTTCTTAATGACCTGCTAAACAGAAGGGAATCTTCTATGCATATTCTTGCTGACATAAGCTATACAATGCTTATATAAAGCTATACTGCACTTCCTAGGTTTTTTTTTTTTTTTTGCCAGTCTCTATTCATGTTGGAAGATTCTCTTTGTTAATATTTTTCCATACTGGATGTGTACTTTCTCTTCTTTGATTCAACTTTTATTTGTTCCATGACCATTATTTCCCAGGATCCATTCTTGACATTACCTAACATAGAATAAAAGTTGGAAGGGACCTTGTAGGTCATCTAGTCCAACCCCCCTGCCCAACAAGAGACTGACAGATGGCAGTCCAGTCTCTTCTTGAAAGCTTCCAGTGATGAAACTCCCAAAACATCTGAAGGCAAACTGTTCCATTGGTTGACTGTTCTCACTGTCAGAAAATTTCTCCTTATTTCTAGGTTGAATCTCTCCTTGATCAGTTTCCATCTGTTATTCCTTGTCTGGCCTTCAGGTACTTTGGAAAATAGGTTGATCCCCTCCTCTGTGTGACAGCCCCTCAAATATTGGAACACTGCTATCATGCCTCCCTTGGTCCTTCTGTTCACTAGACTAGCCATGCCCAGTTCCTGCAACCATTCTTCATGTTTTAGCCTCCAGCCCCTAATCATCTTTGTTGCTCTTCTCTGCACTTTTTCTAGAGTGTCCACACTTTTTTATGGTGTGGAGACCAAATTTGGTTTCAGTATTCTAGGTGTGGTCTTACTAAGGTTTTATAGAGTGGTATTAGTACCTCTCTTGATTGAATCCCTCTGTTAATGCAATTTAGGATTGCATTGACTTTTTTGGCTGTTGGCTCATATTTGATTGTCCACTAAGACTCCAAGATCCCTCACAGTTACTGCTATTAAGCCTGGTTCCATCCCATCTATATGTGTACTTTTGGTTGTTCTTGCCTAAGTGTAAGACTTTACTTTTCTCTACACTGAATTTCATTTTGTTAGATAGGGCCCAGTGTTCAAGTCTGTCAAGATCCATCTGAATCTTGAGCCTATCATCTAGGGCAGGGGTGTCAAACTGCCAGCCCGTTAAATCATATGGAGGACGCATCCTCCCCAGCTCCCACAATGCAAAAAAAGTCATCACATCCATGGCGAGTTTGACACCCGTGATCTAGTGTGTACTCTCCATCCAGTGTGTACTTTGTGCCCACTATCCAATGTGCATCGTCCATGCAGTGTGTGCCCTCTGTCTAGTGTGTACCTTCCATTCACTATGTGCCCACCATCCAGTGTTTGCCTTCCATCCGGTCTCAACTGTCAGTACCTAAGCTTCCATTCCCCATGCCGGTCTTTGCATCCCCTTGAACAGATCCTGAATTGCCTAGCCTTGCATCCCACTGACTGTCCCCGCTTAGCTGGGCCGCACATTCCCCCGACCATCTGCCAACTTGCCAGGGCTTCAAGTCTCCCCACTTGGACCTCGAATTGCTGGGCCTTGCATTCCCCCGCCCAGACCAATTTTTTCGGCCCTTGCATCCTTGTAACCGGTGTGCCACTTGCCCGGTCTTGTGTCCCACCGCCTGGCACCCGAATTGCCAGAGCTCGCATCCCACTGCCTGGTTTCATGACCCCCCCAGCCCAACTTGCCGGGCCTCGTGTCCCCCCCCCAACCAGCCCTGAACATGACGGGCTTCACGTCTCCCTGCCCGACCCCCGATTTGCTGGGCCTCACGTCACCCCTACTGGTCCCTGACTTACCGGGTCTCAAGTCTCGGGTCCCTCTGCTCAGCCCCCAACTTGCCAGGTCTCGCCTCACTCTGCCCAGTCCCCGACTCATTTCCTTTTTCTTTTTTTCTTTACTTTTCAATTTCAATTTCATTTCCTTTTTCTTTATTCTTTTTTTCTTTTCCTTTTCCTTTTATTTATTTATTCTTTCTCTTTTTCTTTTTTCTTCTTTTTTCATTATGTTGCTCCACATATTCCAAAATGTCCGACATATTTGTAACATTGTTTTTTAACTGTCTTTTAGATAAAAACCCACAATAATAATTTCTTGTAAAATTATATTCAGTGTATCTATTAGAAATGTTGTGAACAAATTTTGTGTTCCACCCAGAGTCACTTTTGGTGAGATGGGCAACTATACAAATTTTATAAACGAACAACTCATCATTATTCAAAAATGATACTGGCCTATAGTTGCTTATTAAAGTCAAATCTTATCCCTCTTCAGGCATTAATACTATTTTGGCCTCTCTAAGTCTCTGGCCTCTTTCCTCTCTTTAGGATAGAGTTCATTGTGTTTTATAAGTTTGTAAAAGTTCATCCTCAAAACATTTATAAGAAAAAACTGATAATCCATCTGGTCCAGGGTTTCTTAGTTTAATCTTTTTTGTAGCTTCAGAAACTTCCCTTAGTGTTATAGGTTCATTCATAATCTGTTTCTGTTCCTCTGTAATCCTCAGTAACTTTTGTTTCTTTAGATATTATTCTATTTTCTCTAGAGAGATGTCCTTTCCTTCATAAAAATTAGAATAATCTAAAAATCCAAATCTAAAACAGTCTTTGATAATATATTTACTTTAGAAACCTTGTAGCCAAATTCTTTGTAGGAAAATTCATGTCTATTCTTGAAAAACATTTGTCTTTCAGAAAAGTAGGTATACAATCTTGAATTGGCATTTTCTATAGAATTAGTTCATCTGGCCTATCTAGTCTACCTTGCAAGGCTGACAATATTAGATTAATTGATATGCAAGCAATATTACTCGAAACCCCACCCTTCTATTATTGGAAAATAGTTGGAAAATGGGGAAAGGATGATATTCTCAGTATGGAATCTTATTACTTTTCAGCATAATGTTTATGGAGATTCTCAGTCATCCAGATCATGGTTGTCCGAAAGGTGCTTTTTCAAGAGGCAACTGGACTTGCTTGGTTTTCTTTGAAGTTATTTCGCTTCTCATCCAAGAAGCTTCAGCTTCAGTTTTTCAGCATACCCTTAAAGTTTAATAAATATGTCTGTTGTCCACCAGGGGGTAGTAGTGTACAACTATTCAAGAAACCAAATAATTGGTAAAAGAAAACTTTTGGGTACCAGCAAAAAAGAAAATGTTACAAAATACATGTTTTGGGGAAGCCTAGGCTGTAGCTGTAAAGAATCTTTCCATTTCGGAAACTGAATTTAAAATAGATTAAAATCTTATATTCTAGCCAAACAATCCACATTGTTTCCAGTAAAGGTAGAAGGGAAGACTCCCATCACTGAAAAAAAAATCAGGAAGAATCTGATAGCATCTGTGTAGATTAACACATTTTATTATCATTGTTTTATTGTTCAGTCTGAGAATTTTTGATGGGAGTTCTACAGTCTCTCTCTCTCTCTAGTGCTAGTATAGTTTTGTTTCAAAATGTTTCAGAGCATCACAGGTTATCTAACAACACAATGGGTTTCAACACATCAAACCGGTCAGTCCTAGAAGAGATCAACCCTGACTGCTCTTTAGAAGGCCAGATCCTGAAGTTGAAACTCAAATACTTTGGCCACCTAATGAGAAGGAAGGACTCACTGGAGAAGGGCCTAATGCTGGGAAAGATTGAGGGCAATAGAAGAAGGGGACGACAGAGAATGAGATGGCTGGATGGAGTCACTGAAGCGGTAGGTGTGAACTTAAATGGACTCCAGAAGATGGTAGAGGACAGGAAGATCTGGAGGAACGTTGTCCATGGGGTCGCGATGGGTCGGACACGACTTCGCAATTAACAACAACAAAAAAGGTAATTGTCCCACCTATGACCCACATTTACAAAGTCCCTCTTTGGCCTTCTCCTTATTTGCCTCTCCTCAGTACCCATTACAAATTAATGAGTATCTACTATTATTCTTGATTTCACCCAGCTCAGGATGTGGTTTTTCTGCCCTCAATCCAGAGTTCTATAGATATGGCTCAATTCATCTCTTGGTGGAGATTTTAGCCCTTTGTGCAGCTTATAGCTTGCATGTCTTATGAGCATCTTACGATCAAGAGAATGAAAAATGCAGTTGGAGTGATAATAACCAAGTAGCACTCCTGCTGGAAATAGACAGAAAATATTCTTTTCTCCAACCACAACGTTAATGTTTATGTTGGAAAAAATAAACAGACATACTTCTGCTTAATGAGTTTCAATTTGCACTAAAAATTTCCATTAGTGTTATTTCTCATTAAAATGTTTTGGCTGAATTTGTTTCCTCCGACTTTTCCAAGCCTCTTTTAGTGCGTTTCTGAAATCTCTCAGCCATGGGTAGACAATTTCATGAGCGAATAAAAAGACTGGATACCAAGCTCACAAGACATAATTCTGTATTAACATTTCAATACTCACATTTAAATGCAAATCCAGATTAATGTTAACAAAAACAAATTCTGACTTTCATTAGTAATGGGATATGAATTAGGCCCAAGTCTTTTATGCAGTGCTGTTTTAAAGATGATTAAAATATTGTATATGAAGCAGTTTAATTCTTGAATTATACTTTATTAAACATATTAG